AGAAAATGGCTGAGCATTAGAGCATGGTCTTATGTCAAGGAGCTGGCATCCCTTCGGTCCCCAAAAAATTATTTCTGACTCAGCTTGCAATGAAATCATAGACCACACCTTTTCATTCCTTGATTGACTGGTGAAATACTCTCTTCTGAGTTAATTTATGTATTCTTTTGACATATATCATCATAACTGTTGATTTACTGAAGATGTTAGGATTTCTGCAGCCCATGTCCTGTGCAAATATTGCCCAGTGCAATGTGTGTGAACCACATATATTGATCATGGGTAACAGCTTTGAAACTTCCTTTCTTATATCTGTTTCCAGCGGTTGCCTTAATCAATCCCTGTGCCAAAATACTGACCTCTGATTTGCAACTGGACTGGAGCTTTCTCTACCTCTCAAATTGTAAAGTGAGCCCTGACGTCCACCCTCCTGTACTTAGTAGCACACAGTAGCACTAATTCAAATGTGAATGACAGAGAAAACTTTTATATTTAGAGCTGTGCAGTTACATGAAAGCAGATGAAGGCATTAGAGGCATACTACAATTACTTGACTTGAAAATAAAATATTAAAAACAATGAAGTACCTTCTGTGTGTCTGCCACAAGGGGTGTCTGGGCTAGTGCCAGAACACCCACATGCAGACTGGTCACTTCTGTGGGTAGAGAGGAGCTGTGAGAATCAGCTGTAAGGCTCCAGCATCCACCGTTGGCCAACAAGTTACATTAATTGATGCAAAGAGAAATACAGCAGTTTTTGTTCAGACATGAAGAAATAATGATGATGTCAGGTAGTTTCACCAACACTTATATAGTTTCATTCTTGTAAAGAATTAAAGTGAGCTAGGACCTAAGTTCATATTGCTTGGAAGTACTTTGTAAGACTGATAATACTTTAATACAAAGTACTTCACAAGCACTGTGAACTCGCCACTGAGCTGAACTCAATTATTTTGCACAAGAGAGAGCTGAGCTCCCACATGGTCTTCTTAGTTGCTTTCTATAAAGCTTTAGCACAGACCTTTATTTCAGGTAGACTTAAGACATTTGTCAGACAGGATAGTTATAAATGCTTCTGTCACTATGAAAAAAATGCAGCTTCAATGGGTTTACTTGATTTTATTCTCATTTTCTTTTCTGAGCCCAAAGTCCTCCCCACTGTTAACACATTTTTCTTTTTACTTACTGGATATCGTTTGATCAATCACCAGTTAACCTACTCACACTTCATTGAGTTTCCTCATTTATCAAACACACCAAATGGAGTTGGGAGCCTGTTGAGCCAGCATAAAATCAAATGGACTTTATTACTACAGTATTAATAAGCTTAACATCTCAGAAAGGAAGGAAGAAAAGATTGAACACATGTAAGCTTCATAGCAAGAATTCTCCTGGACTAAAACGTAAAATGGAAGGAGAATCTAATTCTTTATTAAGCACATGAGTAAGGAGTTTGTTTCTGTAATGAAGCATTACTAGTCAAAGGGCTGGAAATGTTAGGAATATTCTTTTACATAAGCCTTACAACTGATATTAAAAGTGCTAATCATTTTGGGTAATTTCAGATAAGATTAAATATTATAAAAAACATGAACATTTTAGTTTAGTTTTATTATTGGGGCTTTTTTGATTTGTGACTTCGCTTATAAACTATTTTGCTCCACGTTTCTAAGACTTCAGGTTAGTAATGCTTGATGGTTGATTAACACTTTTATTCTGTATAGCTACATTTGAAGATTTTTGATAGTAGGTAATACTATACTTTGCATAAGTAAAAGATTAGCTCCTAGAAATACATAAATTGCATATTTATGTGATTCATGAAAGATTAATTATATTTAAACTAAAAGTACTTCATGAATTTTATATAGCATGATAATTGTTTACAATTTCCATGTATTAAGTCAATACATTTTTCAACTCAAGTTCTTTGCACAACAAGTTCAATGAATAAGTAGGAAAATTGAGGGCCTGCAGATCAAATTGGCACAATCCTTCATTAAAATACACTATTGGTGCTTATTTTCTTATTGATATACTGATTTCATTGGTAGATATGGATGTAAATTTGCTAATATACTTTTTTCTTTAATGATACCATTTAAGAGGAAGATTCTTTAATAAAATTTAGAAATAAAGAGCAATTTGTCAGCGCCTTTGCAGTCATGCAGACCAGTGCTGACATGAAAGATTTCAGATAAACTTGTCAAGAAGATCAAAGTCAATTTAGTAGTTTAATGCAGTGTACAAGTGTATTGAAGTATCATTACTAGATGGCTACAGGTAAATGCAAGATTATTCTTTTCTACATTTTCTTTTATGTCTGTGCTTAGAGACCTTCTTAAAGTTGACTGCTATTTGGACAGCATCTGACAAATGTTTCAAATCATCAATTCATCATTTTACATGTGGTTTGCTAAATGATCAATGACATTTGATATTTCTTCTGAATTTCAGAAATGTCTTACTTCAGCAAAACTTCATTTCTATTCAGAGTAAGGCCACTCTAAGATGTTCCTTAGAGTGAATAGTTGCTTTAAATACTTCTGTGGCCTTTCTCTTTACTCAATTAATATTGTGTTTTTATTGTCCTCACTTCAGCTCATCTGTGTTATTGTAAGGCCCAGAATTCCTTTCCCTCTCCACAGATTTCCCCTTAAATGTCCAACAGGGCTTTGTATCAGGTTTCATGGGGAAATTCAGTTTTTACTGTCATGTATTGCAGTCCATCTGTAATACATTTTTGAACCTGCTAGCCAGTTTCAATCATATCTGACAAAGGAAGAAACTGTTTATGTCAGTCTTCTTTGTATGTTCATAATTCAAATATCTAACCACAATCAGAGTTTTGTGAACTCCTAGTAATATTCATATATGTAAATGCATTCAACTCCTACTAATTCCATTTAAACAGATACCATATTAATACCCTCTCTGAAAAAATTCTTACGGAAAACAAATGCACAGAGAAGTTCTACAGTGGAGACTTGGCTTCTGCTCTTCTACTATTTTTTGTAATTTTAAGGTTTTATTACCTGTAATTGTTTTATAACAAAGTGTTACCAGTTCTGTGGTATATCCATCACCACATTCACAGTTTGTTTGCCTAGTTAGGATCATATCCTGAGCTACCAAAGGGTTTGAATAAAATGATTTCTCATATGCACTTCACCCCACTTGTGGAATTGGAGAAATCAGTGAAAAGTCTGGTTGCATTACTTTGAGAAGTAAAATGTGTCTTCTGACAAAGGTTCAACTAAATATAATTTTAAATAACATAGCATAATAAGTTAAAATTTAAACAGTTGGAGAATAAGACATCTCCATGAAGCAGTAGTTCTGGCTTGCTGGGAAAGCAGAGTTTTCATGGTACCAGTGAAATGTTTTCTTTGGGATACAAACACAGCTGATACACAGTCAGAGACACGGAGAAGAGCACAGGAATCTCATCCCCATCAGATCTGGGAATGCTCTCCATTGTTTGTCTGGTGTGGGCTCGTGTGTGTTTGGTCAGAAAGGTGAGAAAGTGAGGGCAGCCAGGGAGGGAAGTGAAGTGTCAGGCAGCTCCTAAGGACAGCAGACACCTGGGAGGGACATGGGCAGCAGCCACCCTGCAGGGTGGGCACATCCTCAGCTGCTGGCAGGTGGTGAGGGAGGGAAGTTCTTTCTGCATCTGGTTCCCAATGCTCATTACTTACCAACACACATACCTTCCATGAATTTGTGAAGCATATTTAAAAGCCACTTATATTTTTAGTTTCTATAATAGAAATTAATTTGTAAATTAATTTGTAAATGGCTGATTGATTTTCTAATCTGCCCTGATTTTAGAAATAGTGATAATTTTTAACTCACATTCTGCCATCACTTCTAGTTCCATGGCTTTACTGTATCTGTCAGATAAGAAGGATTCTATTGTATTTTGGAGAAAACTACAATCAATTCTGTGACTCAAGAGAAGCAATTCAACGCCTCTTGCTATCTTTGTCACCTTTCTCTGCTCCTTTTCTACATTTTTATTCTTCCTGAGGTAGGACTGCCAGAGATAGATATAGTAGTCAATATGTGGGCATATAGCAGGACAATTATGTTTTCTTCTGAATTTTACTTTTCTTTGCTTATTATCCTGTGCTGATTTTTATTTCAATATTCCAATGGATTTAAACATTATTCACTTAAGAGTTATTTCTCTTTGTAGAACTAACTACAATAAGATAATTTTTTTTTTTTTTTTCAGGAGAGGGAAGAGGTTTTATGGTAACTTAGAACCCATTTTTATATACACACAGTTGCACTTTATTTTCCCAGTGTTCACTTACAGAAATGATGGTGACTTCTTTCCAGGTATACTATATTTATCCATCTTCTACATTGCATTTGTAATAGTTCCTGATAATAACTTTCCCAAGATGGAGGTCACACTTAGGAGCTTAGAGTTTCCAGGATCATATAGGGACACCTTGTGAAGAGATTATGTTTCTCACATTCAGTTTCCATGGTACTGAGATTTTAGAACAATCAGGTCTAGTATTGTCACATTTTGGAGCAGAGACTTAAAATTTGGCAGCAGAACCTCTCTGATATTAGTGATGCAAATTTGCTGTTTTTAGGGCCACCATCAAATTTTGGCCAAGTAAGTCTGGGAAAACAATTCTTATGTGTTCAGTAATTTTTTTCTTAACTATAAGATATCTAATTTAATTGTTTTGACTTCTTTATGGCAATTGTGTATGGCATATAATTTTTTTGAAATATTGCATCTATATGTAGCATTTTCCATTACATGCCCCTATATATTAATTAGACTCAAACTGTGCTGTGCCTTGTAGGAAGAGGGGTCATTGGATCCCTACAGCTGTTTCTCTCTCCCTGCCTCCCTGCTGGCTTAGCAAAGAGGACTCCAGAGCTCAGCAGAATGCCCAGCATTTCTGTCATGGCACTGGAAGTTACTGTGGTGCTAAAACGGAGAGAGTGGGTAATGCCTCAGGCTCTCCTTGTTTAAACACTATCGAGGGGAGAGCTTGCAGATACAACTGACTGGTGCACAGGTCTGCTGGGCAGCTGCATATTGAAGAAGACAAAGAGAATGTAGTTAGCAGGAAAAACCAAAAGCTGGATGGCAAAGGAAGAAGGAGAAACCCCTCTGGGATCTTAGAATCAATCCATAATTCTTGGAGTCAATGCGTGTGTCTGCTATCATCAAATAGCTTTGAGATAATTGAAAAGGTAAGTGACCTCTCTTGATTTCTCTGTGTAGAAGACAGCAAAAGCTGCTGGGCAGTTTCCTTGTGTTGTCAATCTGAAAGGTCCAGTACTGTCACACCCTATGTGGGTATAATTGTATTTACACATGATGAAATTTCTGGAGAGGCAGGGCAAAGTAGTACATGTTTATACTTCTTTTTTTTTTTTTTCTTTAGTTGTTTGAGAAGCTATATTCATATTAAAGCAAAATAAAAACCAGCACTCAAAGCCCAGTTTTTGAGACATATTAAAATTGCAAGTTTCTTGTTCAAGAAAGTGTTGTGTGTGCAACCTTCATTTGGAGAACTTCTGCAAATAGGAGGTTACTTTGTACTTTTCCTACAAGATCCCTGCTTCCTACAGTGCTTGAAACTTGGTCCTCATGGAATGAATTTTTCTCTGATATTCCCAGATAATTTCTTTTCAGAATATGTAAACAGAGTGTGCAGGAAATAAGGCAGAAATGTGCCTCAGAAAAAGAAATGGGTCAGGCAGCTGCACAGCCCCCCCCAGTAGGAATGGAATTCTGTCTCCTGTATGATTCTGGATCAGTTAATCTAGTAAAAGCTGGAAAAGTGGTGGAAACTGTGCTTATGTCAGTCTGCTTTTTGTGTTCATAATTCAAATATCTAGCCAGTTTGGAAATGTCGAAGTGAAGTCAGTGGGAACCCAGAACACACAAAGTGTAACACTGGGAAAAAAATCAAAGCTCACCTTGGACTTTCAGAATAGGTTGAAATTACTGACTTTGCTCTCTTCACACTCATGTATAGAATTACACCATCACCTCATCCATCATACAAAGTGTCTCTGAAAATGCATGAATTAATGTTTTTAAAGTACTCACAGAGGTGACCTGTCCTGTGAAGAAAAAGGGAAAAGCCATCAGGAAGTCATAATCCATTTCTAAAGCATTGTTTGCAGGTTGTGTAATGTACATCAACAATTTGAATGAAGTTATCAATAGCAATTGGTTTAGGGATTCTCACTGTGTAAAATCAAGAGGTTTCAGGTACATGATGACATCTGAATTTTCCCATGAGATGCTATGACATATCAAGTACAAAGAAGCAGGAATTGAGTCACAAGTGCAAACTTCGTTATGGCATTTCCTAAGCTGCAAGTACCTGATCACACAACAATAAGTATTTAAATACAGCATAAATCCAAGTTCAATGCTTATAATCTGGCCTAGTCATCTGTCCAGAGTTATGCTCCTTGTTGTATTAAATATGAAATTTGAATACCTAGTCCCTGTGTTTTTACAGGCTGCTCAGCAACCACCTTTTAAAAATGAGTCATCACATTAATCTCTTTGCCTGGTTGCATGATTTATATCTTAGTAAAGATACACTATGATGAAGAGTGAATGGATAAAATCAACATGCAGTTGCAAAGATTACATATTTTTGCATTTTAAAATCATTAGCTATGATTACTTGCTCTTGCTTTACCCAATTTATTGTGCAAATGTTACTCTGTTTTATTGTGGATATTATGAGAGGGATGGGGTTTCTCTTTATTCAGGGTTGGTTTCTCTCTCATGGGAGCTGAGCACTCGAAATAGAAAAGACACGTGCACATCAAGGAGTGTTACTTAAATTTTCATTTAATGAGTTTACTACACTATAGAGTTGTATCCTAAGCTTGTCCTCTTGCCAGTCACTAATCATTATGCAAATAATACAATAATTGGACTCCTGCACACTCACCATGGAAAGCTTTGTGGTTCTTGGTGCTGCACAGACACTGGGACAATGTGGTCTCTGCAAGCAAATCACACAGAGAGACCTGGGAGAAATTGCTGAAAGGCTGAACACTGCTCCTGTGACCATCCCATCCTCCATACCCACAGCCTGCCCCAGCAGTGTTTCAAAACAGGTTAGATTACATATATGATACAAGAAAGAGGAAAAAGTGGGTATAATCTAAATCCTGCTATGGTTAGACTGAGTATAATTTTTTTTTACTTAGATATTCACTATTTCACTGTAGAAATAAGCAAGACAACTTGAGGATGCTGAACTTACTGTTCTTTCCAGGATCGCTTCCCTTCCATTAGAAAAACATTTTCACACAGGTAGTGGATCATGTCTCATTCTGTTAATGTTCTCTATACCTTAAATATGCTTTTGATTTGTGTTATTTATGTTTACAGTCGTAACTTATGTGCACAGCAGTGTGCTTGTGTTCTTTTTGTATTATAGCACAGAGGGTTTTTCACAGTGAGCTTGTAAAGACATCATTCACTGTTACTGGCCATTTTTTCTGTGAATTAATTTTTCATTGCCAACATCAGTTTATGAACATCACAATGTTCAACTAGAATACAGTGTATTTTATTTATGGCTTACATAGTATTTCAGTACCTTACAAACATTAATTAATGTTGCCACATCTCTGTGAAGTAGCAGACATATTCTTTTGACAGATGGGGAAACTGAGGCATGGAGAGCTTATTTGAATGACCTAAAATCACTTAGCAGATCTGAGACAGTGCAGCCTTTAATACAGGATCACCTTTAATCTCTGCAGCAGCATGGCTGTTAATTTTACATGAGGACAGTTATAGATCAGCATCAGTGTATGTTCAGATATTAATCTCTACTGATCCATTTACCTACAAAACTATTTCAAGACAAATTAAAATGTATTTCTACTTCAGGCCAACTGTCTGTTGCTTGTATTGTGGTAAAACTTAATCTAGACATTTCAAAATAAATTGGTTTGTCAAGGCATTGCTATAATTTGCGAAATAGCGGCACAGTTTTCACTCACCAAAGGATGATTGAATCAGAGGGAAAAAAAAAAATCCTTGAGGAAAAGCTGAAGAAGCATTACAAGGACTGAATTTGGAAAAGTATTTATATCAATGTATGTATTGCTTTGACTTCCTTATTATGTTTTTTGTTGTTGTTACTCTTTTGCTACCTTTCATAAAAGGAACAACAATTTTTAAATTTGGAAAAGGCAACAGATAAATTCCTACAGGGTGGTAAAGTCACCTTAGTGGAGTCTTTTATTCCTCTTTCAAAGAAATAGGAAATGCAGCATCAAGATTAATTTTTCATAACACTGGAGTTCTGTCACACAGACATCTGTGTTTGAACTGGTTTACTAAACTCCTTTCATAGTTAACAGAGATAATCAGGCATTTCTAATGACCAATTTATCTCAACTGTTTTAAGGATCTATTTTGGGGCGAGATTAATTGCATTCTAGTAACATCCATTTCTTTCCACTTGCCAGAAAGTCAAACAAGTTTAATTAGAGACTAATTCAAATGGAGACATGTAAACTGGATGAGATGAATTACTGATTTTCTGTAATCTTACACAAGGTTACAGCTTGCCCATACTTTTAACTGGAACAGGGAAAAATATTTCCTATACACCAAAAGCATTGATGGAATTCTAAAATACATCAGCTTAAAAAAAAAGGGCAAGAAATGGAAATTTGATCAGTCATGTCTCTGTAAATGCAACAATGTACAATTTTAAAAGTATGGCAAATTTTTATGTATACTGGAATATTCATTTTTCTTTCTGAGCTTTCATTGTAAACTTCCATTTTGTAACTTGTATAATTCTTTTTATGGAAGGTGTCCTATTTCAAAGTATTAAACAAGCTTTAACTTAAAAATGGAGGAACGTTAAACTCTAGAATTAGGGAAAATTTTCAGCAATTTCTCATAAAAGCTTAATTCAACTTTTCTATTTTCAATTCATTCTCTTTGAAAGCTTTAAATAATGTTTTAACCACTTTTTATATTTTTACTTATATATTTAAATGTGCTTTCCTGTATCTGTGCTACAGATCCTAAGTGTATCTTTGACTTGAGGCTTAAACAATATTAAAATTTAAATAATTCTTCAGCTGAAAAGAGATTTAGGAAGTGTTTATATGCATTGAAGTGAACCTGAGCAACAGAATTTCAATGAAAATATGTTTATAATATATACTTTAATAGGAAGCTTCAAAGTCTAACAAGCAACTTAGCAAAATTTATTCGTATTCAAGACACAAGAAAACTTTTTTTCAAGAAAATTTTTTTTCAGGAAAATTAGTTACAGAAATGTAGAAGAGGATCACATTGGTGTTTCTGACATTACAATGAAAAGAAATGCTGAGGGTTTATCTGAGAAAGGACAAAAAAGTGACTTAAAAGTGAGGGGAACAGTACAGTGTTACCTTCCAAGGTCATTGCTGAAACTGATTAATTAGTACGGAAATTGGCAGTAGCGAATTAAGGAAAAAAAGCTATAAAAAAAAAAAAAAGGAAAAGTCCTGCATGAATGGAAAAAACTGAAGAAGTTGGAGTGCCACCTCAAAAATGGATGTTAAATTATGAAAATAATGATTAGCAGAGAGAAGGAAGTGTAGCAATCATGTGGGTTCAGCAGGCAAGCTAAGAAAAAAAGATCATATTCAGAAGTAAGGTGAGCTGGATAAACCCAAGGAATTAGATTCACCCTAATTAATCTCAGACAGACAAGAGAAAACTGCTGCCTCTGCATTCCAGGTCTGGCATTCCCATATTTTTAACCTGAAATTTAAAAAATATTTATAAGAACAGATAAGCATTCTTATCCACTTGCTGCAGGTGAAATCTGTGATACAGAGAGGAAAGAATTCTGCCAAGCTCTCACAGGTAATACTTTAGTATTACTGCCATGAAAGTACCTTATGTCACCACAATTTACAGCACCTCTGATGGTAGTGCTGAGTTATGTCTGTGTTCAGGGGCTGTCTGATTTCTTTCCTCTTTATCTGAATAGAAAGCCTTGTATTTCACTTGTGTAAACTCTAAATTCATCCAGCCTCCAGGCAGGTTTCCTTCATATTCTTGGGAAAAAAAGGGGTTCTTTTGAAGGAGGGTGGATGGGACAGGATACGATACTTGTGCTTGTCATCTTCCAAAGAATTCGATTTTTTTCTTCCTTCTGGCTAATACAGTATCAAGAATCAGCCATAACTGCCTC